GGGGCATGCGGGATGAGAACCGTGCGTCTGCGGCCCGGCTAGAGGAGAGGATGAACAGCGGTTTCCAGTAGCTGTTCGATTGGATGTAGAGACACGAGGGGAATTTTTCCCCTCTTCAGCCGTGATTTACAGGAAGTTACTCCCCTAAGATATACCACTTTTTCTTTCAAATTTGTTCTTTCTCGAAAGAATAAGTTTGGGGGAGGGGTGCGGCATATCTTAGGTTCTTATCCCAATTATCTTGCATTTCATGTAGGTTGCATTAGTTTATTTTTATTTTTATGTCTTTATTCATAAAGGGTAAATGTGTAATAACATGCAAAGCCAAGCTTTCAGTATATAACACTAACACGGAGTTGACGACGGCAACGCCACCTTAGCCGTCCGACGAGCCCGAGCAGCCGATCCCGTTCCGTTCGTGATCCTGTCCATTCTCCAACGCGCAGTTCCCGATGATCCCGAATCCGTCAGATTCAGAAAAGTTTTAAGTCGTAAGTTTTCTACGTAAAACCTTTAGATCTGTTGCGCATAGGTTTACGTTTGCTATTGAATTCGTGAGTTGTACATAACGAGATCCTCATAGATCGCAACAAGTGGTATCAGAGGACTTGGTTAATTCGTTTTGCACAAAGTTCGAATTTTTACGACTTTATTTGACAAGATGTGTTCAAACGCAGCCATATATATTAGATTATATTCGCATAACTCGGTTTTGCAAGAATTAGTTTAATCCACTCTTGTGGCCGAATATTTGTTTGATGAATGTTGTTGAATGTGATGAATGGTTTTAATTTATTTTTAAAACCTCGGACATGTCGAGGATATAATGAACGAATGTTTGTAATAATTATGAGCTCGGAGGTTGACCGGATAGAATTAATTTGTTTAGAGAACATTTACATCCATTCGTTGGATCTAGGATCGAATTATGTAATTTTGTAAATTATATTTTCGTGTTGTGATCGTATGTTGATGACCGGGAGATCACAAAGATCAACGAGCCTCGAAGACCCGATCGAAATCGGGCTCGAAAGACTGCCGGCGAACCACTGCGGCCCGCGTGGCTGGCGGCTTTGCCGCCGTAGCTGCAGGCGGGCCAGGTGGAGGTGGCGACGGTGATCATCGGCCTGGAGAACCCGGTCAGTGGTGCGTGCGACCTGCGCGAGAAAAAAGAATAAAATAAAATCCGGCATATTTTTAACGGGGCCGGCGGCGGCGGCTGGAGGAGGTAGTTTCCTTGTTGGACAAACAATACAATATCTATCAAGATTCTACTGCAGTGGGAGTTCCAGTTGGATAAAGAAAGAAACTGAATATGTTTTCTTGTTTAAGGAGACTCAAAAATTAATGGTCATAATATTGGATTTATTTATTTAAATTTATTATGCCATTAATTATTTATTATTTATGCATGAAAATTAATTATTGCTTTATGCATGGGATTAATTTATTTGAATGAATAATTGTGCATGTTAATTAATTAATGCTTTAAGCATGAGATTAATTTTGAATTGCATGAGTTTAAAAATCCTCATTTAAATTATACTAAGTTTGGGAAGGGATTTTAATTTAAAATTAATTTGAAATACCTAAGGCCTCCATTTCTAATTTTTTGGTAAATCAATTAATTGGAGTATGAGCTTCCCCAACAGATGACATCACTAAAATTAATTGTAGGAAATTACTAGAGCAAATTTCTAAATTTAGACGATTAGAGGAAATCTTATGAGAGCGTACGGGCCTCCCCATGGGGACGTATAATCGATTTTGACAACCTCAAGATCGAGAAATGGGATTCACTTATAATGCGATTTAATTTATAAACTCCCCACGGAGTCCCTGAATTTTATTGCATGGCCAAACGGAGACCGACTATTAATTTCGTTCGTCATGAATTTGGTTTTGACTTATGGATCAATGGGTTCTTGAAAAACCCTTCACTTACCAATGTTGAGTATGTAGGGCGACCCACATAGCATGCTTACTCACGGTGTGTAGAGATGTCGGTGAATTTAAGTTAATATTGTTTTGAGAATATCAATGTTAACAGTTAAATTCAAAGTGTTGGTTATATCGTTTGCCATAGTTTTTTTAACTTTAGCGTAACAAAACGAATAATATATTGTAACAAGGTATTTTGCGTATTATTTAATTATAATATTTGAATATGCTAAATTTTTATTATCCTTAATTATAAACAACCTTAATTTTAGAACGATTGTATAAACATATAAATCATATATTAAATTATTATATATCATAAAATAAAAAATAATTATTAATATTCAAAACTATTTTTATATTAACTAATATTTCTTTATTGCTTTGCAATTTATAATTACTACCATGTGCATGGCATGGGCTAACAATTACTATTACTAATACTAACAATTACTATTAGAAAATCTAACTAAAATTAATACAAAAATGAGAATAATTGTGAACTATAGTACATAAATATAAAATAACTTAGTACCTGAAAATTTAGTCTGGAAACAAATTATTAATGAATTGGATATCTTTATGCATAGTAATTTTAGCCCCTAAACTGCAAAATAATTTTCGATTCCCTCGGACAAAATAGAAGTATTGAATTTTAAAACCGAACAGAAAATCTAAAACGCAAGAAAATCCTAGTCAGGTTGTAAACGAAATGATCGAGAATCGAATAGTTCATAGAACTTCACAATACAAATCACGAATCGAAAAAGTGGGTTTCAAAGTGTTGGAGGAGACGATCATCTTTCTTCTCCAACGAACCCATTCTTGAGTCTCAAATAAATCCGCTAAGGTAAGTTGCTCTTGCTCATATGTGTGTTATAAATATAAATATATAAATATATGCCCATGCACATCTCTTTAGATTTCTTGCATGTAAAGAATTAACAAATATTATCTAATATCACCTTTTTAATATTAATTTTATTTGTTTCCAAACTTAATTAATTATTCTAACTCTTATATTTAAATAAGATTGACTTAGCAATATATATATTTTCAAATCGAAATATCATCCTCTATAAAATAAAATAAATAAATCTATCCTATGTCATATTATAAGTATACATTAATTTTTATTTTTTTTTGAAAAAAAAAAGGCAACGCATTAATTACTAACTGTCTAAATTTGTACTTATATTTGATTTATTATTTTTCCATACGTCAAGACTTCAATATTATGTAGCTAGAAAATTAGTCTAAAACAACAATAATTAGAAAGAAATTAAAAATCTGAATCAAACAACACTTATTTGTAAAGATGAATCATATACATATTTAAGAAGTTAACTAATTTGTTTATTTAGATTCATCACTGTCATGAGTTAACACTATCGATGAGAACTATCGATGAGAGCTAGACAACGGATTTATAATCCTATTACCATTCAAGGAATTTGAAAGTAGCAAATTTATATTTCAAAGAATTTAAAATCAAGAGATTTGAAATTCCTAACACAAACGTAGCTTATGTTTATAAGTTTTTCTTAGGTGGTATGCTATCAACATTACATTTACCCATTTCTGTTCATGTCTGTTCATGCAAAATTAGAGTCTTCGCAACTAGCAATACCATGTGAAGCAAAAGTAGAGTCTGTTCATGTAGCAATACTATGTGAAGCAAAATAAGAGTCTTTGATTTATCGTCAAATTTAGCCAATTTTCAGCCTCCATGTTGATCTGAACACCTGCAACACAACCAACATAAATTAGTCATTTAAAAACACATCTTTTGNACACACATCTTTTGAAGCTGATTTCATACAAAATTTCATGATTCATTTTGTCTTACCACCTGCAAGCAACCATAATTAACCCAAACAAACACTCTTGACCAACATGCAACACACCAAAAGTGAATTTAGAGAAAACAGATATGGATGAAATGTTTCTTCATCTTTTTTCCTGTTCTGTTTCATCATATGACACTCATGCTACCACACAACAGATCAATTTACATAGAAAAATTTGCTAAAAACGGTTCAGAATTCCAGCACAATCCATGTACACACTATCAAATTTGTTAATTTGTTGATACGCAGTAAAATAGACATGAACAAAATGCACACAACTTGCTTCAATCTCAACCAAACACAATTACCTTCCAATTTATTCCACATCAGAGAGAGATAATTCACCAAAACGTAAGAGCGAAACACATTTTCAGCAGCGCACAAGCAATATTCAACAAAACGTAAGAGAGAAACACATTTCAGCAACATAAGTGAGAAACACATTTTTAGCAGCACACAAGCAACAAGCAGAAAATGAGGCCATTAATTTCGCAATTGATTGCTTACCAATTCCTCAATCTTCATTCTAGCAGCGATCGAACAGTAGGAACATTTCCTCAACCTTCAGCAGAGAAATATTTGAGATCGAGGAAGAAGAAGATTCACGTAGAAAATCCAGCATCGACAACGAGCAGAGAAAAACATTTGAGATCGAGGTAGAGAAAAGCCATCAAATAACAAGCAAAATATGAGGAGATTAAAGCTCTGTAATTTCGAAATCGAAGGTTTACCAGACTCATCCTTCCAGCATTCAAGAGCTAAATCCATTGACGATTTTTCCCTCATTTTCTCCTTCTTCACTGCCTTGAGGCTCTCAGTGTCCTTCACAGTGAATGCTTTCACTTTTGGAACCTTATTCTTCACCAAAAATGACGAACTTGGAGCTTCAGCTTTCTTGCTCTGCTTCTTCTTTCCACCGAGGAAAAACCAGACGTTGTGCATAAATTTCACCGCGATAGACATTTTCGAGTGAGCAGCGCCAAATGAAAGTGAATTTCTCTTATTTTTATAAGAGAAGACGAGAGGGCATTTTTGTGCTTTTCTTCAGCCATGCGAACGATGCCGTTTTGTGCTCCTTTTCAATGAAAAGTGAAAACTACACTTTTTTTGATAGACTAAAATATCCTTGATCTGTAATGCTTTTTTGAGGAAGAAATTCAAACCCAAGAGCCTCGGCCCTCATCCACCACCACTATGGCCGATACCGATTTACCGCCGCCTCAGTCCGACAACACCACCGTCGCCGTCGTTGAGAAGCTCTCCAACATCTCCTTTAGCTTCTGTCCCCTGAGCGAACGCACGCGCGACGCCATCGGGCACCGCCTTATCGTGACCCTGTCCTCCCCCCTCCATCTTGTCCGAGAGCTACGACACCGTTCCCAAAGAGGAGGCGGCCGACGCCGCTAAGGTCATCGAGCCCAAGATATACGGCCGTTCTCGGCCCCCCATCTGCGGGGTTCAAATCATCACTGGAGTCCCAGAAAACAGTATGACTTTTCGAACATTGATATTGTCAAAATTCTGTGTAAAGCCATCATTGTCTACTATCAACTTGCTTAGGTCAGAGGTAGGTGTTTTATTCCTTCTCAGAATTTCTTCATTCATAGTTTCATATTCATATTTGCAATGCATTATTCATTTTGCTATAAACTTGAAATAGCAAGTGTAAGAGTATGTGTTTCTAAATTGCCGCAGACTAGGAATATAATTTGGGATTTAACTGTTGAATGTCGGGTTGTCATTTAGATGCAATTCAACTGATTGATATTTTTGAAAGTTTTAGATCGTGATTTTGTCGTGAAGGAGATTTTAATGAATTGGATATGTCTGCCCCACCTTTGAGTGTTATATGGCAATATGCTGCCTCTCAAGTAGAATGGGTTGCTTCCTATACTTTCTTAAATAAAACTTCTTGGTGGCTGTTGTAAAATTTGTCTGTGTGAGCCTTTGAGAATGGGTGGTCGACTGAATTGAGACCATTTTTTCTCTGCAATAGAATAGAAAACTATAAAGCAAGTTTGCAAATAATATTTTTTATATCAAAGTAGAGCTGTTAGTTGATTTTGTTAATATTTGAGTCATTCTTTGAAAGAGAAGAGCCTATGTTTTCAATATTGACAAGAAATATATTATTCTCCCTCTTTTTGCGTCTGTGTGTTATGAACAAAGGCTGTTAGGAGATCATGATTCAACGTGCGAGAAGAAATGTGAGCGTTGTCATATTCCTTCGGCATCCACCACACTTCTTCTTGGGGCAGTTCTGCAAATCTGTCTCGGTTTCTGTTGTGCTGCATTTTGATGGCTGATAAATGGCAAAATAAGTAAGCTTCGTTTATAATATATTATTGTAGGAGCCTACGTCCTTGGAAAAGCAATTTTGTGGATTAAGGTCAACTCGCTGAGATCTTTTTAGGGTTACCATATCATATCTTAGATTTTAACAGTTGGTCAAATTGTGCTTGGTATTTTAAGTACAATGAGTGTAATTATTGATTTTTTTATCGTAGTGAATTTTGTTTAGATGGATTAAGGGGGACTTTGATTGTGTATTTCGGCAATATTGGACATGGGAAATATATCAAGTGGGCGTTTTGGCCAATCTAATTTTTTCTTCATTACAATACGTACGACACATTACATATTTATAGAAGAGAGTGGAGGTTCTCAATGCCATGTACAAGGCTTGAAAATGTTAAGATATTTTCCACCGTCATCAACCAATTTCAAAGCAAAAATATCTTTACTATATGAATTTTCTAGACTTCCTATTTAGTTTAAGCAAGCAACATTATTAACTTGTATTCTAGATTATTCTTCCAATGGCAGTGATGGGTAGGTAAATGAGGATTAAGTTTAACTGTGGTTCACGTGTTGATTGTCCATATTCATCTGTATGTAGATTTAAAGTCTCATTTTGTATTCTTCCTTTCCCTTTGCATGCTATCGTGGAATCTTGAAAATAGTCTTACTGCTATGTTTTGTTTATAGCATTGCAGAGTACTCAGTAGAGAACTCTTTGATCAGGCCAACATATATGTTAACTTATGAGAATGCAACAGAACTTGAAGAAGAGGCTTAATTAAGACTGCTCTCTGAAGCTGCTGCACTTCGGCTTCAATGGCGTCGGGAACAGGTCAGAACTTCTGTTTCCATGAGGTCAAATTTATCCTTTTCTGGTTAAAATCTTATTCTCACTTTGTAGTTTCTTATTCACACATTGTAGAATTTGGCATTTTAAGAAAGCGCATCATTACCTGTCTGAGGTGTTCAAAAAATTTAGAGTTAAAGTCTTAGGTGTAAAACTTTTCAGTTTCATTATGACCCGATCGCTATCCAACTAGGGGGAGATGGATATGGATATCTGGCTTTGTAATTTGTATAGTGAAAACTAACTTGTTCGAGGAGGCAGTCCTGCATTACCAATGACTGGTTAACTTTCTCGAATGTTATTAAACCAATTCTCTATTATATACCTCTTAGTGACAAATTTGATTTGTTTTATTGTAACAATTCACGGCCCATCTAAAACTTGAATAGCAGCTAAGGCTTGTATATGAAATAAAAGGAATTTTTTTATCTCATAAACAAAATTTCTTAAAAAGAATATTATTCACTCCTCTCCACATTTTTCGTTGTTGTCTCTATATTTACACACACATGACGTGAAATGCTTCGTGTAGAGTGCCATAGATGGATTACAGAAATCTCATACGGCACGTAATCTTGGGACTTCCTGGGTACGTACAGTTCACGTCTCCGACCTGCAGATATGTGGACCTCCTGGCTCTCTATCAGGTACTCTTTTTATGTATTTGTCGACACGAAGTATTTCTAAATTGTTCTGCAACAAATCCTAATTGTTCCATGTGCAAGAATATTTTTATATTGATTACTCCAGGACTGATATTTTGGAAGGTTTATATTCATTTTGCGAGAAACTCCAACCTTTTGTGTTCTGTGTGGTGCTTTTCTGGGGATCATAATTTACAGTAGAAAACCCACAAATCTTAAAAACCTAACTTTGTGATCCCCAGAAAAGCAGGACACAAAAGGTTGGAGGTTTTTTCCAAAATATTCATCAATATAAATCCTAAAAAAAAAAAAGGAAAATTTGGAAAAGAAATTGGAAAAATAAAAGAATCCTAAAGACCTAAGAACCCCATAAGTCCTAAAAGTAGAAAATCGGAAACCCAGTAAAATTTAGAAACAGCAAAAGAGACCGAAAATCAGAAATAAGAACCCTAAAAATTGACAAAAAAATGGAACTAAAAGTTGATTTTTTGCCTGCTTGACAGAAAACTTTCCGTCAGCCAGTTTCATGCAAGTTTTGCTCATCAATTACGATTACAATATATACGACAACATAAGTAACTTCTTTTCCTTTTTCCTTTTATCACCAACCTCCCCGGTTTTGATGGCTGAATTTATTTTTATTATCGGTCCTTGGTGCTTGTGATTCAACAACCGGTAATTACTTTCCTTGTACATTTGCAGGTGAAAGCTTTTCTTAGGGGAGATTCTCTTCCATTCTCAGCCGGACAGCTCGAGGGTATAGCATCCTTGGTAAACATGTGCACTCGTGTAATAAGGCGGCTTAGCTCCACCAGCATTTGTTATTGGATAATAGAATACTTGAGACAGCAGCCAAAGCACAAGACATTTTCCGCTTTGGTCCTCCGTTTCATCAAAGACCGAGTTGCAGCCATACTCTTGATGGAGGTTATAACTAAATAACCATTGCATTATTTATTTTTTCTTTAAATTATTATTATTATTATTATTCATAGGTTTTTATATTTGCCATGTAGGTCGGGTTACAAGCTTCTGTGTGGGTATCGTATCTGTACGTGTAAAAGTTGTTGGTGTAAAAGTTGGAGATGAAGTGAAAGTTCGAGTGGAGGAAGCCCATCCATGTAACGACACCATTTCTTTTGTAGAGGTTGTGGTGACATAATATATAATACGACTGTACTAACATGGTGCGAGTTTCGTGCAAGGTGGCCTCTCGACTCCATACTAGCTCTATTGCTAATTACATTTTAATTCTTCACGCGACAGTTTGATTTATAGGTCGGTTTTCTCATTCGCTTGCTTGTATATACCAATTTTTAGAAAGCGGCTCTTTTTTTTTTTCCTACTGTGTGCGCTTTAAAGAAGAGGAAATCAAAGGGAAAGTAGCGAAGAAAAAGGATCTTAAGACAATGTGAGGCCTTTGTGGTAAAAGATTATTTTGTTAACAGTGTTGAAAAAATACAAGTTTTTATGTCCTTGCCAAACTCGTATTAGAGGAAGCAACTTTCAGTTATCGTAAATTTCCAAATAGTTTATCCAACCATCGTCTATATGTCCTTTAGCCGAAAAGAGACCCGGTCTACCCTTAAGTCTATTTTAGACCAAAGTAGAGACTTAGTCTCTTTGCATTAGAGTAGATTTTGTTAATTTTACATAATTTTATCCATGTCATCCAAGATTTGGGTTTATTTACAAATGCATTGTAGATGCTCATGAATATAACTCTAAATCCACATGGATTACTGTTTCGTAAAGTGATAAATATGATCATGAAGTACCAAATTCTATACATTAGACAAATAATGAGAAATAGATTTACGAGCGTCATAATTCAACATAACTATGAAAACTCTACATATATATAAGGATGATAAGCCCAACAATTCTCTGCATTGTTAAATTATTTTTGTCTTGTTCTAGAATAGTTAAACTGAAATAACATTAAGGTAATTCCAAAAGTTTTAACTTGTATCTCTCCAAAATTATATCAATTAACATTCACAAAGCATAANAAAAAAAGTTAAAAGTTCACTTGATCATCTCTTCTTCTGATTTTGCTCGTCAAACCATCGCCATGACATGCCGGGGCCCGCAATAAGTATATTATTTGACTTTGATATTGAGCTATCCTATAAGAGACAAAGATAAAAAGCAGTTAAAATGTATTTTTTTAAAAAAAATATATTTATATTGCAAGATATCATATATTTGTATTTAAAAGAATATATAGTTATATTGTAAATATCACATGTTTGTTTATGTTAATCCTTGAATTAGACATCTGATTATTGTGAAAATATCCATCCTCAATTTAAATTTATCCACAACAACAACCTTACCAAATTGCAATTTGGATTCCCTAATTTAGGAATGATAAACTTATTTTACTGAAATATATATAGTGATCCACAACACAAAAAGAAAATTGCAAATGGATGATCTTTTGTTTTTCTCCGCCAGTAACCGCAGATTCACTAAAAATAACTGATTAAAAAGACATGATTATTTGTAGTCTATTCAATTTTTTTTTTGTTTTTTAACAGTCTATTGTTATAGAAATTTATTTACAATAAAAGGTTTGTTTGAATGAACACCATGCTCGCAAATGATCATGCTCTCTCATCTTTTTCCATCTAATCGTTATATATTTTATCTACTGAGGAGGACAACTATTTATTTTATTAATGACAGCCTAAATCTCATACCTTCATTTCTTGTATTATTTTTTCAAGGCTCGTGACCTACAAGACATGAAAAATATCATCATCATTAGAGGCAAAATTTTGGCACACAGAAATAACAACAAACACTATAAACATACCTTAATATTGTCTATCATCAAGTCACTCTTTGTTAATACTGCAGAACGAGCGTATTCAAGGTCCTCCTGCTCAATTCAGACATCATGCATCAAAGTTCAAACCATTTTATTAGCTTAAAAAACAACAAAACTTAATTTCAGACATATGTTTTTGGAGCTACCTTTCTTAAATAACAAGGGCGATATCTCTTTCCTTTACCATCATCCACCGCCAAACCATCCGACTGCAAAAGGACATTTGAAAAATTCATTAACATGACAATTTGATGAAGTTCCATAGCCATATAGCATATTTCTATGTGTTAGATCAATAGAATGCCTATTGTTATAATGTTCCAATTTGAATGGATGTTTTTCTACTATTCACTTAAGAGAATTGCACATATGATAAAGTCTTCATATCATTATTTAACTATATATAAGCGACACAGCTGCGCATTTGATAGCAATCATGGCACATGTCTGACATGCATTATTTTTTCGTGCATTTTAAGAATAACTATTGTATTTATCAAACTACGAAGAAGGTTGTTGTCGTTATGTTTTCATAGTCTAACGGTTGAGTACTATATATATATATATATATATTTTTTTTTTTTTCAAAAACGGTTGAGTATTATAGAGAAATGAATTTTTATGAAAGGACGACAATAAATGGATTTACTTTGAATTTATTAATAATAATACGAATGTTAGCACTTATAGTGTATTTATGATTCGATATTAATGTCTTCATTCTTGTTTATTACTCGTTTGTAAATCCTTGTTTTGGTTGTTTGCGTACGAATGTGCGGCCGATGTTAGGAAAATTTCAAAACTAGTCCCATAGGTATATGGAGGTGACAATTTTGGTCCCGATGGAATGCAGAAAATATGAATAGTCCCACAACTTTTAAAAAATATCAAAAGTAGGACTTTTTCGCCGGATTTACTATTTCCAGCTCGGAACGCCACGTGGCATCCGACGTGTTCATATTTTTTTACAAGTTGTGGGACTAGTTTGAATTTGCATTCCATCGGGACAAAAAATGTCACTCCTCTATACTTGTGGGACTAGATTTGAATTTTTCCCTATCTAGGAAAAAATTCAAAACTAAGCCATGTGTGCGCCAGCGTGTAAAAAATAAACCACGTGTGCGCCACGTGGTGTTCCGGGCCGGAAATAGTAAATCCGACGAAAAAGTCCTACTTTTGATCATTTTTTAAAAGTTGTGGGACTATTCATATTTTCTACATTCCGTCGGGACCAAAATTGTCACCCCCCTATATCTGTGGGACTAATTTTGAATTTTTCCCGGCCGATGTTTACATGCAACTGATTAAAATAAGAGAGAAGATAATTTATTGTTAGGATTAGAGACTATGTAAATCAGATACAATCTTATGAATTATTAGGAGTTAATTATTTATTTTGAGAACTGAGATGAGATAGATAGCAATTACTCCACAATTTAACTTGTTCGAAAGAAATGTTAGACTGCTATTGTGATATTTCTACGAGTAGTGAAATAAAATGGGGTTTACATAAATTATTATCTTTTGTGAATAGAATTTTAGATTTTATTTTTTATTTCTTAGTTAAATTCATCCTTGAACTAGTACTCGTCTAAATATTATCGAGATGCCGCAATCGTAGTAACTAATTAATTGACACAAATTTATGTGATACACCACATTGCTCCTGAATTACTATTAGCTATTAGCTAGCCTTGATTTTGAACTTCAGACTCATATTTTTCCACATAACTTAAAATCAAATTCGCATTCATACTACAAAGTAATTTTGAGAATTTTGCTAAGTCTCCCAAAAATTGAAATAGTTAGATGCTTACACAAAACCATTTTTTTTTTTTATTATTATTATACGAGTGTGTAAATAAAGGCAGGTTCCGGCAATTAATGGATAGGGCCGAACTAACCCGCAAATCGCAATTAATGTGAAGTATGTTGTAATTAGTAATTAATAAATAAATGTGGAGTGTAAAACCTGGAAAACAGGAACTCCCGAAAAACTGCCGTCGGCCGTATTCTCGTTGCTATTCTTTTTAATTTCCTGAGAAAGATGAGAGTTTATGTACAGACTAACAATTGATAGGAAAATGAAAAATTGGCGATAAGCCAACAATATAACGTCACATATATATATACCTCAATGGCATACTTTACTTGTAACAACTCCGGTACCAGCTTCATTGGAGGGTCGTCTACTCCCACATCGAGAATCTAATTGTGAGAAAGCAAAATATAAATTAAAACTAAGTACAAAGACCAGGAGATCCCTTCGGCTTGAACGAAGCTATCAGGCTTGACCCGGGATAAAGAATTAGTTTCGTAAAATTATTTGAGAACTATCGAATTTTTTTTATTGTCCGATTTGAAAATCTTATTCGAATTCCACAATACGAATCACGAATCACGAATCGACAAAATTTAATCCTATTACACAACCCCTTATTCTTGGTAAAGAGTTGATTTNATTAAAAGAATTTTTTTTTAAAAAAAAAACCCTAACATACCTCAGTAATTGGTGTATCATAGACTCTTAAATCATCTACATGCATGTCAACTTTATCACCCAAAGATTCAACACTATTCAAGAACGAGTGAGCATCTTGTTCACCAAGGTACAACAGATGAATGCCTCTATTTTTTCCGATGAGGCCCACATGAGTATCACAACGGTCGGTTATCTTATAGGCGCGGATTCCGGCCAGCCGCTTCTTGATTTCGGCCGTCGGCAAGGCATGATTACAATTATTTTTTGGAAAAAGTGAACAAAAAGGGGTTAATAATAATTTGGGATTAATATGATTAATAAAGTTGGAAAATTGGGTTTTCAAAGTGTTGGAGGCGTTAGGGAGAAGATCGTCTTTCTTCTTCAACGAACCCATTCTTTTAGTTGAGTCTCAAATAAATCCGCGGATTAATTGGACAATAAATTGGTCATATATATGTGGTGTATATATAGAGAGAGATGCACATCTCTTTGGATTTCTTGCATGTAAAGAAATATCCGAAGGATCTTTCATTCAATTAATTAAATACTAAAATACATATTATGGCATGATTGGTATAACGGAATTGAATTTGATAGGAATAGAATGAGTTGAAAATATAATCTATATATATATAATAAGAATTACCATTTACCAAAAATAGTAGCAAAAAAATAGGTAAGAATTTAATGCAGCTTATAAATAGTAAGTTTTATTATTATTTTTTATTTTTTCCTTAAAAATCATACAGCATTAAATGCTACCTTAAATTTCGAACTTTAGTTTATTTTATTATTTAAAAAATTCGGCTAAGATTTATTAAGTGTGTATGTTTTTATTTTTATTTTTTTCTTAGAAACAACGAACAATATTAAAATTTCGGTCTCTATATATATAAAATCTCAATTCAAAATATAACAAAAGTTTTAGAATCTCGGTCTTTATATTTGTGCCTTTAAAAAAAATATTGAACGCTAAATATTATTTAAATTGCAAAATCAATCAGTTAATCTTAGTTTTTTTAAAAATTACTATGTTTATTTTTATTAATATGCATAAAGTAAAAATAATTAATTCATCTTTAGATATATAATTTATAATCTTAATATACTATCATTTAGTGTAGACATTTATTATATGAACCATAAAATATTTTTATTTCATAAAATTAAATATATTTAAAGAAAATAAGAAAATTTATTCGGATCAATCAGGTGATTGAATTAGGGTACTGTACAGGTTGATTGAATTACTTTTAGGTGATATTTAAAATAGTAAAAAAATTTGACACAACTTGGTTGGTCCCAGGTGACTAAGTTATGTATGAGTTCGACCACACCAAATCGATTATTGAACTTAAATATAAATTTTATATTAAAAATATTTTATTACGTGAATGTGATGTAATACAAACTTCAAATAATCGTATTAACAATACTTTTTATGAAAACATGTTTAATGATTTATGAATATTTATACATCATTTTATTAATATCTATGTGAATTAAATAATATTTTATTATAATATTTATTAATGTACAGTAAATATAAGGTATTCAGAACTGGACCATCATCGAAACGATCAAGCTATTTTATTAAATCATTTGTAGTTTGTTCATATTTTAATTTATAAACATTTTAATATATATAGTACTTTTTGTGATATATATATATATATATATATATATATATATATAAAAAATATGTTACTTAAATATCTAACAATTTATAAATTCAAATGTTTAAACTAATTGATAAATGACTTATAAATGTCTATTTTATTTAAATATGTAATTTTTTTTAAAAATAATTTTAAATATAACAAAATTTATTTATAAAATCGTATCGATCCTATCAGTCCAACCGACTGGTGTTGACGGATTCGAGAGCAAATATTTTATTCAAGCGAACTAGACTGGTTATAAACCAGTTTTCATTCCATCCGGTCGGACTGTGTTCAATCCGATTTAATTTTAAAACAATAGATGAATCATGATTAATGTTTTTTACTTATTTAATTTATAATACAATCGTAATATTGTTTTTCCGTGCATCGCACGGGCCACGCACTAGTGGATATAGGAATGGAATTAAAGAAATGTTCCATTGATGTGTTTGGAAAAATTGCACCAATAGTCCACTAACTATTGGCGAGTTGCACTTTCGTCCTTTAATAAAAAAATATTTATATTTNAAATTGTCATAAGATATAATTGGTATATATTCCTCCTGAAAATCAGAAAGATCTTTGAAGAAATGTTGGTTAATAAAATTTAAAATTTGTAATTTAATTTTAGAGAATATATATATATATATATATATATATATATATATGATAATTTATTGTGTACTTCAAGTTTGGGTTCCAAGTTTAAAAGTCAACTGAGTAACTATTCAATACTTACGTGTCAGTATTAACTTGGACGTAAATGGATTAGTTAATTATTTATAGTTTAATAAATTACTCAACTTAAATTTTTTTAGTAGGATAGCTTCTGAAATAATAAATTAATTTTACTTAATGAAATAAATATAAGTTTTATAACGATACTTATTATTCACATAAATTTTTAAATATATGATAGAATTTTACCAAAATATCTATTTTATAGAATCACATTGTAGCCAAATCAAATTTCTGAATAAAAATTATAATATGACACTTATTTCTAAATAAATATAATGTAATTTTACTATGACACTTATTTCTGAATAAAAGTTTTATGTAATTTTGCACAATTTAATTTTTATATAATATTTTCAATAAATTAATATGGGTAAATTGTAGTACATATTGATTCCATATTTTAAATTTATAAATATTATTTAATGAGCATTTTTTATTTAAAAATATTAATGAATATCTCTTACCCGTGCATCACACGGGAATTGTAGTAGTTATTATTATGAATAAATTAAATATGCACTATGGATTAACTAAATATGCACTTATTATGAACTAAATATGCAGCATGGATGAACTAAATCTTCATCATGTATATATTCAATTTATATATAAGAAATATGCTCTATGGATGTACTAAATATACACTTTTTATAAATTAAATATGTATCATTAATGAACTAAATATGCATCATGTACATATTTTATTTAAATATAACAAATATGCACTTTGGATGAACTAAATATGCATTTGTTATGAACTAAATATATGCATCATTATATATTTGATTTAAATATAATAAATATGCATTTCGTATAAACTAACTATGCATCATGAATGAACTAAAAATACACCATGAATAAACTAAATATGCACATGTAAACCTTTAACTTAAATATAATAAATATGCAATATGGATAAACTAAATATGCATTTCATGTTAACAAAATATGCATCATCAATGAACTAAATATACATCATGAATTAGCTAAATATGCATCATTATATATTTACTTCAAATTTAACAAATATGCAATTCGTATTACCTAAATATGCATTATGTATATATTTAATTTAAATATAACAAATATGCATTATGGATGAACTAAATATGTATCTCGTATGAACTAAATATGCATCATGAATGAGTTTAATAATATGCATCATGTATATGTTTAATTTAAATATAACAAATATGCACTATGAATGAACCAAATATGCGTCTCTTATGAGCTAAATATGTATCATGAATGAACAAAATATGCTTCATGTATATATTTAATTTAAAGATAAGAAATATGCACTATGGATGAACTAAATATATGCATTTCGTATGAAGAACTAAATATGCACCATGAACTAAATATGCTCTTGTATGAAGAACTAAATATGCTCCATGAATGAACTATATGCATCATTATATATTTAATTTAAATATAACAAATATAGATTGTAGATTATGCAGCATGAATGAACAAAATATGCATCATGTATATATTTATTTTAAATATAACAAATATGCATTATGAATGAACAAAATATGTATCATGAATTAACTAAATATGCATCATTATATATTTAATTTATATATAACAAATATGCACTGTGGATGAACTAAATATGAATCATCAATGAACTAAACATGCATCATGAATGAACTAAATATGCATCATTATATATTTAATCTAAATATAACAAATATGCATTTTGTATTAACTAAATATGCATCATCAATGAACTAAATATGCATCATTATATATTTAATTTAAATATAACAAATGCACTATAGATTAACAAAATATGCATTATTTATATATTCAATTTAAATATAACAAATATGTACTATGGATGAACTAAATATGCATTTATGAACTAAACATGCATCATGAATTAACTAAATATGTATCATTATATATTTAATTTAAATATAACAAATATGCACCTTGTATTAACTAAATATGCATCATTATATATTTAATTTAAATAAACCAAATATGCACTATGGATAAAATAAATATGCATTTCGTATGAACTAAATATGAATCATGAATTAACTAAATATGCATCATAAATTAACTAAATGTGCATCATTATATATTTATTTTAAATATAACTAATATGCGCTATGAATGAATTAAATATGCATTTTGTATGAAATAAATATGCATCATCAATTAACTAAATATGTATCATTATATATTTAATTTAAATATAATAAATATGCATTATGGATGAACTAAATATGCATTTCGTATGAACTAAACATATATCATGAAAGCATTAAATATGCTTTATGTATATAACTAATTTAAATATCACAAATATGCATTATGGATGAACTAAATATGCATTTCGTATTTACTAAATATACATTTCGTATGAACTAAATGTGTATCATGAATGAACTAAATATGTATCATGTTATATTTAATTCAAATATAACAAATATGCACTATGGATAAACAAATATGCATTTCGTATAAACTAAATATGTATCATGAATGAACTAAATATGCATCATGCATATATTTAATTTAAATATAACAAATATGCACTATGAATGAACTAAATATGCATTTCATATAAACTAAATATGCATCATGGAGAAGGTGAAGCTTAAAAGTGGTTTCTTGTAATTACACATGTCGTATTAGCATACTATGAAACGAAATATGTAGCATGCACACCCACATTACATATAATGTGGGGTGCAAATTCCTCTAGTTTTTCTGTTGTATTCGACACTCTTCTTATAACATTTTGTGCTTTGAGTAGTCCATATAGATATAGACTTTTATCCATACCTATTAGAATGATTTTTAAAATTATAAAACACTTGGTTAATTTAAATTTTAAATTTATTAGACATCAATAATTTTTTTTATTTTTAATAAGACTTTCATGTATATATATCAAATTTATCATCTCTTGATGAATTTTGATTTTACACCCATATTGCATATAGAAATAAATATATATTTATATTTATAATAAAAAATGATACAAATGAGTAGAGGGTTCAACTCAAGTTCAAATTTTGGCTCGTTTATTTAACGAGCCGAGTCAGTCTCAACTAATTAAGGACTCAATTTCAAACACTCGAGCTTGAGCTTAACTCGACTCGTTTACAACCGTACATCACACTCACTATTTTCCAATGTTACACTCACTATTCATTTACATGACTAACAATAATCTCACTAGTAAATTAAAATATCAGAACAATTCCAAGTTTTAGACGTCCCCACATGATTTACAAAGGTACAAAAATATCAACAATAGTTTTTAAAAGTTCCCCATATGATTTACTAAGGTACACAAACATAAACAAATTTATAAACAAATTTGTTCGTTCGCTCAATGGCATTATTTATTTCAAATGTTCCCCTCGCTTTCTTTAATGAACTAATCATATTCATCTGATTAATAATTTAAGAAAATGTTACATTGTCAACCTAGTGTACAAAACAACACAAGTGAAAAACATACATAAAAATAAAAATAAAAAAATACACAAGTAGATGTTTACACTTGTATTGTTAACATAATTGTACACTAGGTTAACTTTGTATCATTTTTCTAATAATTTGTTTTTCTTACCAATAGAGTGCAAATAGATTAATCATTTTTCAAGGAGTAGCTGCTTAATACAGTTCATACACAGTATAAACATAATCAAGACAAATAATAAGGCCATGTTCTTGTTGTAACAAATCAAATACAATTACCATTATAATATATACAATTGTTTATGACCAGCAAAGGGTGTCCATTAATTGGGAAATCAAATCAATAGGTTCTGAAGCAGGAAATTTACATTTAAACTGGAGTTTTTTTAAAAAAACAAAAACAAAAAAAAAAGTGTAGCCTGCATNTAAAAAAAAAAAAAAAATCCAAGAAAACTGTTGTGGAAACAAAAGGAAAACTTACATGAAGTAAAGGGTCAGTTCCAATAAGCAGCTATACAAAACCTTATTTTCTATTAGTTCAAGAATTTTCTGCAGTTAGGAGCATTACAAAAGCAAGGGACTTTAACCTCTTCCGGCTCGTCAGCCTCAAACTTATAATCATACCTGGTAAGAACAATAACGAGGAAAATACACTCGATTATTATTATCTTATATAAAAAGTGAACAATTGATAGTGAGATGCCAGACGAAGAGAGTAAATGTACGTTAGCTCGTCACCAGCTGAGACATTGGTTTTAGCTATAAGAACTATGCGGCTCTCTTCTCTACCCACACTCATGATCCTTGCATAGCAATTGGGCATGCACTGCAATAACATTTTAGTCAAGTCTAATTACAAAAATTCTATATTTTAAAATTCAAAATTTTAAAAACACCCATTCACATTTGAATGACCTTATAAATTGCAGAACAAATCAGTAGGAACTTTTGCCAAGTGTTTGAAACACAATGTAGTGTATAAGGAATTTCGAATTGAAAAAATGGAGTCCTGTGCAATTAAGGAAAACGATCGGGGTACTTTCATAATATCCCCAAAAAGAAGAATTCGCATAGTGTCCCGTGATTCCATATTTCATCCAGCACAATGATACATCGTAAATAAATCATGCTATAGCTAAAATAAATCTCCAAACATGCTTCAATTAATTCGACATGTGCTATTTACCAAACTTGGGATACCAGATGAATATAATTATAAATGAAAAAAAAAATGTCAAACACATTAAAGAAAGAAGAGCATACCGAGTGATTAATCAAGCGAGCAATATTCCCTTTATTTGTGGCATCAATTACTACTTCCTCACTGACCTTGAAAAGCTGCATAGTGCGTTGCATCGAACAATTAGAACATTGAGAATTCATTAGATGAGTGAAAATAAGAAAACATGATAAAGCTGGCAAAAATATTCAAAGAGAAACCCAGGCAGACTAGCGTACACAGAAAGAATCCAAGTTTCGAATTGTACTTTGCATGAAATGAACCCAGGGAATACAAAAACGATAATGAATGTAAAAAAGTTCCTTTTTATGTTTAAGGCCGAACGACTACAAATACTATCCTTGTGGTTTGAAGTTTGACCCAATCAGGCAAAAAAGATAATGAATGTAAAAAGTTCCTTTTTTTATGTTTAAGGCCGAATGACTACAAATACTATCCTTGTGGTTTGAAGTTTGACCTAATCAGAGAAAAATCTAAAGTTTCTATCAAATCTAAAAGTGCTCTCCCCACAGATATTACAGACAACCCATTAAGAATTGCATTTCCTGTAAATAAAATCTATATATATATAATTAATAAAATCTCTATATATATAATTGCTGGCAAGCTTCAATAAATTTTATTCAGCTAAGAAATAATAATAATAATATAGTTCATTTAATAAATATAGGTGTTCATTTAATAAAAATAGGTCCACCATTTAATAAAAATATGTAACTTTTCAGTTACACAATTTATTTTGATAGGTCCCATTTCTAAAATTTTTTTTTATGTCCTGAAATACAAAATGTTTTTGTTTTTAATTTGATATACTATATACTTTTTGCTATTAAAAAATACATACTTCACAATTAATTAAGAATGACTACAGATATCTCTATTTATATTTTATATTGCAGTCATACAATAATAAAAAAATATTTTTTGAATATTACAAAGATATTTAAAAAATCAAATCCCAAAGTCACGAGTTGAAGGGATTTAACGATAATGATTTGTTGTGATAAGAATTCTGACGATAGAAAAACATTTAACGATAATGATTTGTTGTGATAAGAATTCTGACGATAGAAAAACATTTAACGATAATGATTTGTTGTGATAAGAATTCTAACGATAGGAAAACCACAAATGTTGTATATAAAGATATGTTTAATAATATTTAGATTCACATTTTTAAATTATTTCTTTTCTCATTTATTAAGTTATGATTTTTATTTTAATCTATATTTTTAATTACTTTCTCTTCTATTATATCGTTTTTCGTGCAAATGCACGGGGTAAAACTAGTTAATATTACCACTGAGAAATGCAATCTATGAAATGGAAATAAATATCAAGGGATCAATTATAAATCTGAAGGACAACAGTGTTTTTTTTTTCTTTTTTTCTTTTTTAAGTAGTTTGAGAATGCAGCCAAGGGTATTTTCTGCAACTAACCATAATACTTACTCGCGTCAGTTTCTAATATAAAATGGCACCAAACAAGAGTTGAAGAGTTGACTTACATAGCAATCTTTGCCCTCCAAACCATACCGTTTCTCCCTTAGGTCAGCAACGCTGCGCCTCACTTGCTCACCACAATATTCTACAACCTGGACAAGTGCCATAATTCAAGATTGTACAGAGTTTAAGTACTGTGATTAAAAATATGAGAGGAAAATCATAAACTAGACCTTTTTTTAAGAGAAAAATAGGGGAGTGATTTATATTACCATTTCTCCTTCTTGGATGTTTTGCCTAGCAAAGAGGCCCCATCCATGTATTCTTGATTTACCAAAGCAAACCCGATATTTTTCTGTTGTCTGAAGCATTAAACAAGTAATTAGTCATACGAATATAGATATATAAGAAAATTCTACATAATTTTCCTTTTGTGAATGAATTAGGAAAGAACAAACTGAATTGGACCAGAGAAAGGTAAACTAATTAGGAAAGTGCCGAAATAGGTATCTTACCTTTAAATGTTCCAATCGGTCTCTGAATGTAGAAGATATCGCCTCTTCAATATACTAAATATAATAACAGAGGAGATAATCAAACAACTATCACAATAAGAAATAAATAGTCACAAAACTATGTGATACATATACATATATATAGATAGAAAAAGAATACTAATTACTTTATGATTATAGCTTAAGGAATCTATGACACATAGAGCATGCCAACGAGGTCCCATCAAGCGGTGGAAAACTGATTCAGGTTCATTCACCTATTAAAAGAAACAGGCAGGTGAGAAAACCAAAAGGGAAAAAAGAAACTGATAACAAGCAAAGCATTTGCAAATATTATGGCAACCTTAACATTTGGTCTATTGTAAACACGGCACCTTGCCGCGGACATCTCCTCAAATTCACTAGAATCAGCAGGAGATGAATCTGAGCACTTGGCAGTATTTGTTGAGATTAGCCTTGAACCTCTAGAATGTTGTTCTTGATATTGGCCTTGCAGCAAACTTTTGTTGGAAAAAACCCCATCCGGTGTAAGTATCACTAGTACATTCTCTGCACTAGGTGTCCTGAGACAAAAGATACTAGAAGTGTTGACAAGTTGTAATCCAAAAGCAAAGGGATAAAGAAGAAAGGCCAAGGCAAATATATATATATATATGATCTCTAGACAATGATCTCTAGAGCATGCTATATGTCAAACAACTATATGGTGTACATCACTGTGTTTATATATATATATAGCAATCTATAAATATGCATAACTGAGAGCAGAGACAGAAGTATCTGTTTAAAGAACAAATACACTCTTAGTAACATGCCTTATAAAATTGTCGAGATTGGAACAAAAAATATGGGCAAATAATCATACCTGTGAGAAGAGCAATATGATATAAATTTAGTTATCTGCAGCCCATTCTTTTCGTCGCAATGCAACTGAAATCAAGAAACAAAATTAAGTAGAGAGAGTAGAAATGCAGGTCAAGGTGACGCTCATGAGCAAAGTACATGAGAAAATCCACAGAGCGACTCTTACATATAAAATAACAAATTAACAGAAAAAAATAAATAAATAAATAAAAGTATTTGCTTACCTCCATGCAATATCCAGCACGAGAAGCACATGTTGCATGGAAATAGGTAGTGCACTTGTAACACTGCATGCAAGAACCGTGAATCTGCTTGCAGATAACACATGCCTGCAAGTAAGAAAATTCCAAATTATAAGATAATAAAAAAAATATCAAATGGCTGCCACTGGAAGAAGAAGAAACCAAATGCTTCAGTTATAGTTCACACAGGTGACAGCGAATTTGTAGCAAAACCAGTTGCACTAGACAACTCAATGAAGCCTAACTATTAGGACTTCTTTTATGACATAGAAAATGATAAATACTACACCATACACTCTAGTCATCTCTTCAGTTTTCTCGAGGAGAACTTGAATCAACCACTAGTTATGAATATGATAATCCTTTGAATTATTCTACCTTAGTAAATGAATTTGGAGGAACTTTAAGAAGCCCAACTGCAGGCTCCATTTTCTCCGCATGTAAGAAAGCAACTTCAGGGCGAAACCACGCACAGGTAACATGGATCCATAAATCATCAAGATCGGTTGGCTTCAGTGCACCCCCTGGCTTAGCAGTTTTCAATTACAAAAAATTCAAAGACATTTAAACCACATAATTTTAACTAAAAGACATCAAGTTATATAAAACGGCATGCCTTTTACAGGACAGAGGCAACATTCCCTCTCAAATTCTGGGGTTTCACATGCACGGCAAACCCACAAAGAAAAATCTTGAGTGCTCCTCACTCCGTAACATTCTTGATGTACTGCTATTTGACATCTAGAACACGGAGAATTCCTTAGTTACAGAGCAAAACTTTCATTAGGTGTCTATAACCACAAGAATACAACCACAAAAGTCTATATACCTATTGCATATTATTATTTTGTTGTAGTCCCAGTCTTCGATCCATCTACAAATAGCACATCTTTCAGTAGTCCACTTTGCATGAACAGGTTGGTAATTTTCTGCAAAGTGAGACTAGTCAGAGATGAGGTCCCAAATATTCTCTGTATAAGAAATTCGTTATCAAGAATAAACAATTATTATGCACAAAGCACACGAGCTACAACCTTTTAGAAAAGAAAACAACTGGCGCTTATCCAACCGCGTGGAACTGAAGCTGTATAAATTGTACTGTGCCATCTGTATCACACTGCTGTTATTAGATAACATTAAGAAAACTGATTCCATATGAACCCATATACTTGAGATTAGATTTACAAGTAGGTTATAATGTTTGCATAGAGAATGACCTAAGTGAGCATATTCTATATTGCCAAAAACAAGGTAGACGACAACATTTTCACATTAGAGATTTAAAACTTTATGTTCTTGTAGATTTTTGTTCTTATTTCGACTATGATGAATTGATGATCAACAGAGTTCTTTGAGATAAAGCCTTTTGAATAAGACATAATAAAGACAAACTTGTTCAAGGACAAACCCATTTTTCAAGTGTTAACTTAGAACCCTTCACTTTAACACTGTGCTTCCATTTCTTCGCTCTGCATCCTGTATGCCGTTCCCACTCACTGGGCCCACACTTCTTTGTACCACATGAACCGCAAGTACACTGAACCCTGAGATGAGTAACAATTTATACTAGAAATGATTTCTCCATTTTCAATAAAGTCAACATCATATTTTTCTTGGCATTAACAAAGAAACGTGAAAGTGCATCTCAACTATCTGCCATCTAGAACTTGTTGACTTCCATTTTAGTTTCCCTTATACTTTATAGAGACCATATAAACCCAACCAAGAAGCTCATACATGTAGATGGAAATAAATCAACTATGAAATTCTTCATAAAAGAATCAGAAGAAATAATCAACAAGGAAAAGACAATCCACCAATATAATTAGTTTGGGAGCAATCGTGCTACGTCTATCCATAACCCACCAATATAATTAGTTTAGGAGAAATCATGTTGCTTATATCCACATAAATTACTGTAACTGTTCATTCAAATGTGTATTTATCATAAGGTGTAAAGATCATTACTTCAGTAGTAAAAGAGTGCATTCAATCATAATAGTACCAAACGAAGCAATTAAAAAAAATAAAAGGAAAACAATCCTTCTTCATGTAAGTTTGAACTTACAAATGAAGAGTTGGATAATAAATCCCATCCACGCCATTGCAGACAACTGTGATCGTATCTGGCGGTTTTTTGCTTTCAAGCTGCTCTGCAGGCCTGTAAGACATAGTTAAAGATACAAATCAATAGTAGTCTTAAAACATAAGGTATATCCAATTACACACTTCCCGCAAGCATTAAACAATCATATATTACGCTTCCCAGTGCATTTTCATCTAATACCATCTATTCCCTCCATCCCCAATCACTAAACAAACAAACAAATACGATTAACTCCTGTCAAGAAACATAGCCTAAAAGCACAAGGAAGACCGGTACCTAAGAGATAGTTGCTGATTATCCAAAGCCAATAGTTCAGATGACGGTTTAGCTCTGCACTCAGGGCAGAAGTAGTCCATACCTTTCAGTTCCTACAAGCCATATTATATGTCAAATGCTACACAACATAATTTGTCCGAGGCCAACAAGAGAGTAGCATGAAATCAATGTAAATATATTAGATCAGTCGGCAAACCTTCAAAAGCTTAGTAGAAATGTTGGCACACTCAGCATGGACCCAAACATCACAACCATCACAACATACCTGACCATAATAATTCAGAAAGAACAAAAGGAGAATATTTCAAATTATTAGTCTACTCAGTAGAAAATGCATGCACAAGCGCACAAGGAGGATAAGAAGAATCCCAGACTATCTCACCCAACTGCCACCATCAGAATGATGCCAAATTTGCTTGCAAATACCACAGAATTGTTTAGATTTTCTTAACTACAAAAATTACCATTTCCAAAAGTTAGAAATCATTCAAAATAAGATAAGACGGTTGTAGAGTTGAATTGAAGAGAATATAATCATTACCCTCACCTTAATACAATGTTCACACAAAAAATAAGCCTTGGTTGTTGTATTCTTAATTTTTTTCACCATTCTGCATGGAAATAATAAACCACAGCTGCCACAAGTTCGGGTATCTTTCTTTTTACCAAACATGTCCTGTAACAGGGAGACAAAATGAAGTTGGATAACACTTCAAACGGCACAATTGAGGGAGAAGGAAAGTCTTTGGAGTTGTAAATTTAGGCAGCCAATTTAGGAAAAGTGTGCCAGCTGTAAATAGACCGAGCGCACCTAAAATGCCTCAAAGTGCTGATAGGTACTTGTAACATGAAATGAAATAACAAATATTTACAAACATTAATGTCTCAAAAAATCTTGAAGTAGAAAAATCCAGTGAACTACTAACAGTAGCACCAATCAACGAAGACTCGGAATTTCTTTTTTTGTTCATTTCTTATTTCTTTTGCATGTTTTTTACAGCAGTAGGTTAGCAAGCACAGTTGGGACTTGCCTGCTGAATATTACATTCAGACTCCTGATTTGAACCAGTTGCCTCTGCAACATCACCTTTATTCGCCACAGGTAACATTTCACGCCCCATTCCTATGTCTGATTTCCCATAGCCATTTTCTACTAAAACTGCCTCCTCTATAGCTGCAAGGAAATCACTTGGCTTACTACCATGCAACTTAGTCTGCCCCTGAAATCTAACATCAAACAAACTTAATCCAACTTCCCTCACATAGCATATGTTAAAAAGAACGTCACTTTGTTCACCTGTCCATGTACTCATGAAATGGAAAAATCATTCCAGCTTTTATCCATGCATAATCCTGCACACAAAAAGTTTAAGGCTATCTTTACTCGAATGAGACAAGCTTCTGTTCAGGAGTGGAATTACTTACAAACTATACCATAAAGTATAAACATGTCAATTCACATGAACTGGTGTATGACCTTTGACAGGACGTTCAGTAACCAAAACCAAGAACTAAACAAGTTGGAGAAAAACAAAGACAAGAAGAAAAGAAAAGAAAAAGTGTGTGCAATTCTCCTATGTACTTCTAACCTTGGAACAATCATTTATGAAATTAAGTTTGAACAAAATAATAATAATAAAAAAAAAAAAAAGGTACCCTTTGTCCATTTCTGGAATAACCATAAAACATCACGCAAAGAGTGCCAGGAACACAAGCTCGGAGTACAGCTTCAGGTGCTTGCCAGAGAGGATCAATCACAACAGCAGGCCAAGAAGGAAAATGCTTACCACATTTCGCCCAGACTAAATCTCCCATAACAAAATCACTAGGCGCATAAAAATCAGCCTTTTTTACAACCACTTTCTCCTTCACAGGCTTCATCAATCCCGCTTGCCCATTCTGCTTCTCAACTTTTTTCATCATTGGCGAAAAAGAAGAAAGTCCTTCATTTAATGACATCACTGAACTGCGAGAACTAGGATAAGGCTCAGAAACAACGTTTTTGAACAGGAAGTCACCATACTGCTTTTCTGTCCGTCGTTTCTTCACTAAGTATATGTCACCAAAAGACACAGATGCCTCTTTCTTCTTTAGCTTCTTCTTAAGGGGCGCATCCTGAACACATTCATTTTTATCAGCCACACGGCTCTTCAGATCATTACAAGACTCTGACTTTTCTTTTTCTTTCTTCCACGGGTGCAAAACCGAGTCACTGAATTTCACAGGAAGCACCTGTTTGCGTCCTCTGGAGGACTTCAACAGTGGAGGCTTGTACTCCGCAAACTTCCGAACCTCAGAATTCTCTTCAGTATTGAATGACGAGACTCCAGTCGCAGGGCAACAATTTGAAAAATCAACATCTGTCTTCTCGATTTGGGCAATAGGAAGTGTACAACAGCCATTTGTCGTCTTCTGTATCTTCATGGGATTTCTAGCGACGACGCATGACTGCTCAACTCCGTCGCTATTCCCGATTTCTATTTTCGCCGCCGAACAACGCTTAAGTTTCGGCATCCCAATTTTCCTCGGCGGTCTACCAACCATTTCCCAACCAATCAAATGCGCCCGTACAAAAACCCTAATTCCACTTCCCACGACCCCCAAAATAAAATCCAGATGCCGCTTACAGAAACCTCCAATTTTATGAGATTTATGAGAAAATATTTCGCCAAAGGTTAGCTAAAATAACCCTAATTTTACGAAGCCCTCCTGAAAACCGACCCAATCTGAGATTTTCAGACTCAGGAATTAAAAGGAAATATTCTTCGATTCACCAAATCTTCTGCAAGAAACCCAAAATCCTTGCACGTAATAAGAAAGTGAACACCAAATTGAGAGAATTAACAAGAAAAAAGAGTGATTGATCAGAGGAAAAACAAGATAACAATTTGCTCTAGTATCCAATAAATCGGGAGAAAAAATAAAAGGAAATAACAAAAAAAAATGTAAGAATGTTGTGTGTGTTTGTGGAAGGGGTATTTACTATCTGCTAAATTTCGGACCAACTAAATAATAAAAAGTTATAAAGTGTGATCATTTTCATCATCGTCATTTGAAAATGGCGGATTGAAGTTGAAATTTTTTGAGGGAAGCTTTTGGCTCCATGATTTTCCAGCATTGGTCGCGCCAAAAGGGCGAAAATTTTGAGCCTATAGGAGTACAGATACATGTACAACACAACACTACAACCGTTGAAGAGGTTTTGCAGCAGCCGACATGTGGCGTTTTTCTACTGGATGGATTGGTGGAGGTGGTGAAGGGGCTTGGGCTTATTGGGCTTTTAGTTTTCGATTAATTTACGAGTCCTCTTTCGGCCCATTGTAGGAAAGCAGTGAATTTGAGAGCAGTTTGTGTGTTTATTTCATGTGCTCATGGACTAATTTATCAGGACCAATTATTATATGAAGGAGCAATGACTAAGAAGGCTATATTTGGTAAAATTAGCTATAAGGTAGGTTATGTTTGGTAGACAAAATAATTAGTTATAGCTTATTTGGTTAGATTATAAGCTTTCTGTATTTAAATAAGTTTCGTTTGGTAGAACGAGTTTATTTACAAATTTCGAGCTTATCTCATAAGTTTCTTTGGGTAGATTTTTAAATAAGCTCGTTTAAATTTTTATTTCAGCTAGCTTATCAGCCAATTTTACTAAACAATTTTATCATATAAGCTACCTTTTCAGCTATAAGCTATAAGCTCGAAAATTACTGATAAGTTGTAAGCTAGTTTATCGGCTATTAGCTAACTTATAAGCTAGTTTTACCAAACATAGCCTTGACTGATAGCTGATAAGCTAGCTTATAGCTTATAAAGTAATTTTTGAGTTTATAACTTATAGCTTGATGGGTCTACTTCTAGATCTGAAGAGAACCGGTGGGTTTGAGCTCAGATCTGCTTGAATTGCATCTGGATCGTTGCTAGACCGCGAGAATACCTGCAAAAACTCAATGCCGGAAGTGTTTCCGGCGTAGAGCCTCCGACGCTCAAGTCAGTATGAGAGTGATGAAGAGATGCTGCGCAGCAGTTATGAGGGGAATGTGGAATGAATGAGAGTTAGGGTTTAGGGCTACCTCATCTCCTTTATATAGGAGAGAATACTTACTTGAAGTACCTGAAATGCCCAAGTCGGTGGACCTAAAAGGTTCAAATTGCCCCGGTCGATTCGTCTCCTCTTGCTGCTGAGTCATCACAAGATTTTCCTTTATTCTTTTGAAGGATGTAGAGCTTTAAGTATGTTGTAAGTGTGATGAGTCGTCATCACATCTTTGGTCTTCGAGGTATACAGAGTCGGCCCCGAGAGCTAGGAGGTCAACTTATGATCATATGAGGATTCGGAGGCTACGTTTGGTTAGTTCTCTCGAGTGGAAGTCGTCTTCAGAGAATCGTCTTAATGCGACTTAGAGTATCTGGATGCTCGGAAGTTACGCTCTTGTTGTTCTTCTTATACAGATGTCGACTAATGGAAGTCGACAGACTGAGGTCGACTTGTGAGAGTCGACTAGACAGATTTCTGCCTCTTCTCGGTCGCTCTATGTAGAGTCGACTTTATGGAAGTCGATTTGCGTATGTCGATGGGAACATATCGTCCTGTAGACGGTCTTCGTAGTTACCCGATCGAGTTAGGGGCTTTAGAACCGGTACATGGTAATATGGTTATATCATAGCTTATGACTTATAGCTGAAATACTAGTTTATATGGTAAAAGTGCTTGATAAAATTAGCTGATAAGCTAGCTGAAATAAAATTTCAACGAACTTATTTGAAAAATTACCTAAAGAAGCTTATGAGATAAGCTTGAGCTTTTTAAAAAAGCTCGCCCTAGCAAACAAAGTTTATTTGAGTACAGGAAACTTATAAGCTAACTAAATATAGACGAAGAATAATGCTTATTTCCAGAGTTTGTTGTTTGAACCGAGCTATACTTAAACATATTTTAGCTAGACTTGTGTAATTTCAATGTCGACCCAATTCGTTTACTCATGCATGCAAAACTCGAATTTCTACTAACAACTTGGTTCCTTTTTTCTTGTTTAATTTCTTTTATATGTTTTGAACAAATAGTTGAGATAGACATAATCGTAAATATATAAACAATATTCGCGAACAATTTGTTTTCAATTAAACAAATTTAGTGTTGTTAAAAGAGTCGAGCTCAGATTTCACAATTTAAAATGAGTCGGGCTCGAACCAACCCTATAGCTCACTTATTAAACGATTACGAGCTCGAAAACGAAGTGCTATATTTTAAGATAACTATTACTAGTGCATAGCCCGTGCGATGCACGGGGCACATATATTAATTGAGTCATCTATATGGCTTGTACGATTTTGGCAAAAAATAATAGGGTTGGATCATTAATTTTCCATTTCTTTCAATCAGTGATATTTATTTTAGTCATAACGTTGACATGTTATTAATATATCATTCTGCTAACACGTTATATTGATATAAATTTGATTCTGCAACATATATTTATCCATCGATATAAGAAAAAAAATAAAATTTATGTTTATTCTTGTTCACCATTTATTTAATAGTCAATTAATATTTTATTATAATATTTGTTGTCATATAATGTCATTATTATTATTTATAAAGGTTATAGAAGTAGTCTTCTTCTTCTTCTTAGTTTATATAATGAGTTTAAAATAAAAAATTTCTATAAATGTTTACAAAATACACACACATGTTTTTTAGAATTTAATTTTCTCATAATAATTAAAAAAAAATTGATTTAGCAAATTGTCAAATAATAAACCTTACATAATCAAGAGATTTTTTCTAATTTGCATCCTAAGGCTTTATTAGTTTATTTAACATACTATGCAATATAAATATAAATTTTACAATAAATTCATTATGGAAACAAATAAAAATAAAAAAAAAATGATAAAATTATCATGGTTGGCAATAATATACAAATAAATCAAATGTTGAAAATGTAAAGAATAGTTAATATATTTTAATTTTATTATTTAGCCATTAATAAATTATTTAATGATGTGATCATTATCTCTTAAATGGTAAATTATTTGTTTATATAATTAAATAAAGGTTAAAAAATATTATCGAAAAATATTAATTCATAAACTTGATTTCGGCTAATTAGTTAGAGGGAGAATTATTTAAAATGTTACCATTGTTTATAAATATTTTAGGATGAAAGTCAACATTTGTGAAAAAAAATAATAATATGGTTAAGACTTAAAAGTTGTTTTCATGTTTATGTTGACTAAAATATTATCAACATCAATCACGAAAAATCAAATTATAGTTTATTATAATGGATATCAATAAAATTATTGCATATGTTAATAAAATTATTCAAGGAAAGAATCTTTTTGGTCATATTTAATTTGGAAATGTGTATATTAAAGCAATTAATGCATATATTTAAAACATTTCCAAATAAAGTATGCATTAAATGCTCATTAACTTTTTTGCTGCTATTTTTAATAAATGTTAATTCTTTTTATATATACTAGTGTGTAGCCCGTGCTATGCACGGATAAATAATATTAATAATAATTATAAATTAAAGATGAGGATAAATAATATTAACTATAATTATAAATTAAAGATGTGAGCAATGTTTTAAATATTGTACCGTACCGACCGGAATTACCGGTGGTCCAAACGGTATTACCGGATACCGGTGGTCCGACCGGTGTAATTACATTCAAGATATCGTTTTGGCCAAATACCCGTTTATACCGGTTTCATATCGCAAAATATCGGTTTTACCGGCAAATACCGGTCAAAATACTGGTATATGCCAATTATTTTTAAAAAAATATATTTTTTAATATATTTTCATTAATCTATTTATATAAATTGAAAGTTCTACACTTAATTTCAATATGTTTACATTGTTATTAAATGTTAATTAATTTTATTAATTAAAGTTAGTTTTGTACATTATTTATATTATAATAACAAATTAATTTAATATTTATTGAAACCGATAAAATAGATGGAACCGCGTACTGTTGGCTCGTCTAGTATGATTACCAGTAAGGTATTTAAAACACTGGATGTGAGGTTATATGTGATAAAATAGTCTATTGTAACATTATAAAATTTATCTTGTATAAAAGAACATAAAAAATGTGTGTTTAAAATATTAAATGTGAGAGAAGATTTACATATTATATATAAATTAAATCTTGAGATGATACTGAAAATTATTACGTAATCTCTGTGTGAAAATTTGAGTATAAAATAAACGGAGGCTTAACAATTCCACGCTTTATGCATACGCTTCATTTATCAATTTTATATAATGATTTTAAAATCTCGTTATTAAGATTTTTAGTCAAACGCGTATCAACAAAGTCTACATTCTTAAGGTTTATGATGAAATATGAATAAATGATTTTTTTATAAAAGAAATCCGTATTTATTTGTTTTTGAAAATCAATGCAAACTTATACAAAGTTTTTATTCTTAACAAACTCCTACCATTCTAATTAAGTTATATTATTCCAGTTTGAACTTCATTATGATTTTAAAATCCGTACACGTGGTCATAATCTATATCAAGTAAACAATCTCCATATTTTTAGAAATCAGTATTTATCTGTTTTTGAAAATCAATGCAAACTACTTTAATCACTTTTTAATATTAATTTAATTAAATAAAAAAATGAGGCAAATTTGTACCAAATTTTAAATTCTCGTGCTCTATTGCGACAACAGTTTTTCAATATCAAATTAATTAAATGAAGTTATTTTTTAATAAAATTCATTTCAGTTTTTTTTACTAAAATGAACGATGCATGCTCGTACCAATTTCCAATTCTCCACAATTCGAATAAGGGCTCCTTAACTTTTGAATAATGCTAAATTTCGTGTCTATCATTATGTTTGCAGGCAAATTTGAAATTTGTACGAAAGTTATTAGAAAATTGTTAACATTTGAATTTGAATTAAAGATTTGTATGAAAATTATTAGGAAATTGTTAACAATTGAATTTGAATTAAAGATTTGTTTTTTCTGTTTTTCCTAAGTTTGTTAAGGAAAGCAACCATATTTTATTTAAATTTCTATTCCTTCCTTATTTAGAAATTTTGAAATTTGTTTTGCTTGCTATATTTAGTAAATAGTTATTCTTTTTATATAAGTATAGATAGATTATAATTTTCTCTGTTTGCAAGCCGTATAGTATGTGCAAAAATTTCTCGTTATTTTATAGGGGGTTTTAGGTACATACATAAATAGTTTGTTTTGTTTGGTGACACTAGTACGTACCCCGTGATGCACGGGACAGACATATTAAATTAGTTATTTTCACTGGCTTTGTCCGTTTAATTATATAAAGTAATATGGTTATCATCTATTTTTCACATCTTTTAATCAGCGTTAAGTGTAATAAACAATAATGTTATAATCTATTTTGCACCTCTTTTGATCAGCGTGGTTTTTTTAGTTAAAACATTAAATATGAGCATGTTAGGGCTAGCTTGTAAAAATAATTAATATATTATCTCACTAACACATTATACTAATATAAATTTAATTTTAGTATATAGATTTATTCCAATAGAGAACAACAATTTTACTTATTCTTATTCACCATATAATACTTAATTATTATTTTATTATAAACTTTGTTGTCATATAATGTCATTATTATTTATTATTTATAAAGTTATAGAAGTTGTACGTCCTCTTTTTCTTTTTATTTTATGTAATGAAAAATATTTAATGCACGTTAGTATTATTTAATAATGTAATCAATTTAAAATATGTAAATAAATTTAAAATTAAATAGTGTGTAAATATTTTATAGAATATACACATGTTTTTTTAGAATTTAATTTTGTATACTAATTAAACAACTTTGATTTAGAAAATACCAAAAACTCAATCCCTTCTATGATCAAGAATTTTCTAATTTTCATTATAAGGATTTATAGTTTATTTAGCATACTCTGCAATGAAAATTTATTTTACAAGAATTTAATTATAGAAATAAATCAAAATAAAAAATGAAAAAGAATAATCATGGGTGTCAATAATATTCAAATAAATTTTAAAAAATAGTTAATATATTTCAATTTTAATTTTTTACCATTAATAAAACTATTTAATGTATATGGTCATTATCTCTTAAATGGTAAATTATATTAATTTGAAGAACAATTTATTTTTTAGATTTAATAAAATAAAGCTTAAGAAAAAAATATATTGACAAAAATTAATTCACCAGCTTCATTTTGTCTGATTACTTGGAAAAAAAATTCTACCTAACATGTTACGATTTTTCATAAATATTTTTGGGTAAAAAATGAGTATTTGTGAAAAAAAATTATAATATGGTTAGAACTTAAAATATGGTGTAATATTTATCTTGACCAAAGTATTATCAACATAGATCATGGAAATCAATCTTGTAATTTATTACAACTAATATCAATGAAAGTATTACAAATATTAACAAAATAATATTTATCTTGACCAAAATATTATCAACATGAATCACGGAAAATCAATCTTGTAATTTATTATAATAAATACCAATGAAAGTATTGCAGATATTAATAAATTTATTTAATTAATTTTTTGATCATATCTTATTTGAAAACGTGTATATGGAAGCAATTAATGTATATATTTAAAAAGTTTCTAAAAATGGTATGCATTTAATGTTTCTAAAATTTTTGGCTACTATTTTTAATAAATGGTAATTCTTATTATATATATATAGATATAGATTTGATTAGATATACTAAAGAGCATATCTAAAAATAAAATGAAATTGCAGAAAATAACGATTATTTATTTAGATGTATATCAAAAAATTATTGATTGCCTTTACTAATGTTTCACCGCCCGCAATGCTATAATATGACCAATACTACACTATTTCTTGCTTCCAAATACAAATTAATGATTAAAAAGTAACAAAAAAAAATTATTGCACCCCACTTTATAACCTATATAAGTGGTAAGTAATACAAAAATGCAATTTTATTATAAGGTCGCTTTTGATGGTAACGTTACACGTCGAAGGTATTCAGCTAGAGCCCACATTGGATATATGTTTCTATATGCTGCATAATGTAGCATGCAGTTCTTCATGAAAACCCCAGTAATTTCCTGCATATTAAAATTCAACAAAGTATACATTTAGATTTGTATATCTCATATAGATTACTCAAATTCATTGATTTTGGAGAAATATGTTTTATTCCTACTAATCATGCATGTGCAACTGAGACAAAGTAGTCATTCTTCCCAACATTTTTCTTTAGCTTACTTAAAAAAAACAACAATAATTTTGGATAAATCGACTCGTTATAACTAATTGTAAAACTCAAATTCTTGAATTAGCCGGTCTAACTGTTGGGTGAATCGAGACGTTATACTTTATAAATAAAAACGCATACTTGTACTTTTAGTGTCATAAATTTATGTATGTATTTTATAATTAGAGTGACATTTTCTAATAAAAATATAGATATTTGCATACTAGGCTCCCATCATTTGGAAAATGACAATTTCCCAATGTCATACTTTTTTTGGTTTGTTGAGTGAATTAATAAAGTATTCAAAATATTAACCCTTTTGATCTCTGTTTCATCTTTGGACTCTTATTAAAAGCTATATATTATTAGCAAGCT